ATGTAATACAAATCCTTTTTGTTTACGGGGATTTTTTTAATATAAAATTAATTCTTTGTTCACACCACACGAAATTCGGCTTTTTTTTTTTTGCTTAATTTTGAAGACAATTTTTGAACTGATTTATATTTACCAAATTTGAAGGTAAATCAGAAGATTTTTTTTGAAAACTTGTGTGGATGAATCATGAAAAAAATTTTATCTAGTTAGAATTAATGCGCGGTATCCCGACAAGTATGGATGAACTGAAAACATGTACCAGAATCATAAAATTTTCTTTCATTATATATCGCCTCTAATAATTTACTTTTCTCTATGTACTCCTCGTTATTTCCTATTCTTTGGTCATAATATCATAATAATAATACTGTATATTTACAAATTTGCGAAAACTAAGATTTATTTTGCATGAAGCGTTGCGCTAATATGAATTTCATCTTTTCTCGAACAATAATAATTTTTTTCTTTATTTATAATGTACCTGTAATGAATCTCAAATTATCAGCTATATGCCCGCAGCTTACATGGAAACAACAAGAAGTCGATACCAAGTTCATTTCGGTAGTTGACTCGTTTCTTAGCCAAAGTAGCAGCTTGTCAGAGCGATACTCCAATATTCCTTTGCATAAATTAGGATAGAGTGTAAAAAATAAAAATCAAGTATTATTGTAGTATTATTTATTATAATGCGACCTCGTTGATAATTTATTGACCCCGACTCATAGCCCTTAGAAAAGTCAGAATTTTGATCTTAAATTAGAAATTAAAGCGAAACTTTTTTTTTTTAAAAAAAAAAAAAAAAATGTTAGAATTCAAATTTTTATTATTAAATCTAATACCACTTTATTTCAACTCGACTTTAAAATTTCTGAGTACAATGAAATTGTATTGCTACAGTATTTTGCGTAGAAAATTTACCATTATTAATAAAAAATTATTCCAAATCCTTCATAAAATAATATAGTCTTATCTCGTATTATACGACGTTTAAGGACGGTGTAAAATCTCACAAAATAAATTATCGACGACCAATTCTTATTTTCGACCTTTTTCATCAGAGGCAAAATGAAGCGTAATAAATATGAAGAAAAAATCCATTGACGCGAGTCGGGAGAATTTATTTAAATTCCAGCTGACTCCCCACTTGGTACCTCTCCTAGTTCATGCTGTTCTCTACAATCCTTATAATTACTTTTCATGTAAGAAAAACATTCTTATTACTTTGAAAAGCTTTTCACATTTCTTGTCATTTGCTTTATACAAGTTATTTTCAATAATCATGGTTAAATAAAATAAAAAATAGTTAAAATAATGAAAAATATTTAACTAAATTTTTCGGTAAATTACTAATAAAATGTTTGAGTGTTAACTTTTAATTTGGATTTGTTCATGATTTTCATCAGAAGTGAATGGTACCATGTCGGAGTTCTGTTTGCTTTATCTGTTTTTTAAAAAAAAAAACGAAGGATGTTATAGCAGCCTTTCTGACAGAAATTCGACTCAATAAACAGAATCTTTTCTGACGGATATGGACTTTGCGCAAATGTCTGCGGCACAACGTGGCACGTCCAAGTGAAAAATTCCATTATGCCAATGGCGTTCGCAACGTACTATCGAAAAGAATTGAAAAAATTCCAACAACAAATTATGTATAATTAATTCACTTGTTGCAAATGTAAAAATTTTCTTTTCATTGAAATAAAATTT